CAGCTGCGACGAGGCCTCCCTGCCTGACGAGTTCCTGTCTGAGTTCCTTAGGACCATATATGGTGACTTCATCCCAGACGACTGTCTCCCTCCCAACCAGCGCTGGGAAGGCAAGCGCGTGGCCGCGGCGCGAGTCATAGCACACTTGGCCAACGGCGAGAGACATAAGGAGCCCTGGAGGATTTATGCGGAAACGCTGGCCCCGGCAAATGGCCTCGATCCCATCCGACATGAGATCAGCACGCTGACGGGCTTCCTACTCAGCCTCGGTGCCGATGCCCTCGCCTCTGCATCCATCACCTCCTTGGCAGAGTCTCCTCCAACAGGCGTTTTGGCCATGGGCGACGACAGACCAGACGCTCCCATGGCTGCCGACGCAGACAAGTCCCAGGGCACGGTGGACAACGACTCGCGTATGGGCCACCAGGGCCCGCCCGACCACAACGGCAACGACGAATGCGCGGAAGACGGGATCCCCCCTACAATGATGGAGTCTCCCGACCTCGGAGAAGACGAACCCGCTCGTCCTCCTACTTGCTCAGAGTCGGCCCAGGACGACGATGATAATCGCTCAGGCGACGAGGCGCCACAGCAAAGCCCATCGGCGGACAGCTCTGACTCCAGCCGCGAGGATGCCGCGACCTCAGCCGGAGAGGAAGCGCCCTACGCCGACCGCAGTAGCGATCCAGCCCGAGATCCCGCGAGGGACGAGAGAGCCCGCGACCGAGGTGGCTCGCGGTCCGAGCGCTCTCCCGCGCCCACCCCGCAGCTCCCTGGACAGAGGCCCCATCACCCTCGCCATGCTGGTTCATCGGAGCAGGATGCACTCAACCGGTTGACCTGTCCGGAGGGGGGCGGCCCCATGTACAAAGTCTGGCTGGGCACAGTTGACCTCGAACGTCCCTACGAGACTCCAGCCAGACGCATATCCAGGCTTCAGTCGGAGCTGGGCGCAGTCTTCTGCGCGCTGTGGGCAGCAAACACGCAGCGTACTTTGCTCCCTGGATCCAGGGCGCCCAAATCCGACCCGAAACTGCACGCGGCCACGGACATCAACAATTTTCTTGATGCCTGGAAGGGCTGCGGGTATGACGCCTACCAGATGAGCACGAGGCTGGGCTATGAGCCACGAGCCAACTACCTGCGTCACTCCCATACAGACGACCGGGGCAAAGGCAGCTACCACCAGACTGGCTGGCGTGACCGCGCGACAAGCTCCTGGGACACCTGGGGCAGTTGGCAGGGCGAGTGGCGTGATGGATGGCGTGAAGATCGCTGGCAGACGGGGGGCAAACGCGGCGGAGGTGTTGCTCCGACGATCGGGACGATAGAGATGAAAAGAGGCTCCGTTGGAGAGACTGAGCTCCCCCCCCCGCTCTCTCCCCGCCCCCGGTGCCTTGCGCCACCGCCAACACCTCGCTACACACTGTCTGCGGCCCTCCGCCGCTTTCTTTCTCCAACCGTGGGGCAGCACCACTGCCCCCCCCCCCCCCCTGGGCGGCACTCCTCCTACCTTTGGGCCCTGGTGTGCCGCTCAGTACCATCTGCACTCTGCGTGGCACCGCGCATCCTGCAGACCAACTGGCCACTGGCCCCGCTGCCTTACTCTACCGGTGGCCGCTGCACTCTCGCCGCAAGGCTCCCTCGGTCCTCTCCGGCTGGTTTCGCATCCTGAATTCTTTCTGGCGCTGCCTTAGGCCGCGCCGCGGGCCCCTTCAATTGCAATTGCGGCGCTCTGCCGCCCTCCTCCCGATGCGCGCACCTCCTGCCTTTGGATTCAGGTGCGCGCTTCGACAATGCCGTCCGCAGCCCCTCTGCTGTTGGACTCGCGGCCTCTGGCCCTGCTGTAGGTCTTTCACCGCCAGGCGTGCCCTGGCCCGTGTCTGTGGACTCTGGTTTGCCTGTCCACAGGCCCACCCCCTGGATACTTTAATCGATTGAACGGCCTTCCGCCGTGACCCTGGATCGAAGTGGCTCTGAGGGGCGCGTCTTGGGTATACGGCGGTCTCGTCCCTCGGGTGCTATCTGACTCGTTTTGGGTAGCGCTGAGACACTTTGGATGTGCACTCGGCACGTGGTCTTTCGTGCATCGTGCACACTACGGCCCTTCCACTCGCTGGATTGGGCTGTCGCATCTCAGTGTGGAAGGTTCTCCTGCCTACATGTTTCCACACCCTGGATGCGTGTACTGACGCCGCGACTTTGATTCGCCGTCAGGCTCTTCCGCTGGACTTGTGTCTCCAGTCAGTCTGTGTTACCCGTCAGACTCCCTGAATCGACGTCCTCGGGACCGTTCCTACTTGTTCGTATCCGAACTGCTGGGAACGCCTTACGCGCCATTTTGGCTGCGCTCGGTTTCCTCGGCGTGTGTCTTCAGACTTCCTGGATGCACCGTTGCATGTCTCGTTCAGGGGCTGTTCTGCAGACTCCCTGGATTGCACGCTGGCTCTGACGCCCTAGGACGCTGCCGCGTGCCGCCTGACCGCGGCCTCGCGCGCGCCCGCCGCTAGTCACGGCCGCACCCCGCCCGCGACCGCCCGCCGCTGGCGCTTCCGCCTGCGGCTGTTTAAAAAAAAAAAGAAGTATCCCCACCAACCCATCCTACACCAGGCGCTCGAACGAAGAGCGCCGATGATCGGCAGCTGTTCTCCTCCCCTCTTCCTCCTTCTCCTCCGCCTTCTCCTCCTCCTCCTCCCTCCTCCTCCCCTCCTCCTCCTCCTCCTCCTCCTCCTCCTCCTCCTCCTCCTCCTCCTCCTCCTCCTCCTCCTCCTCCTCCACCTCCTCCTCCTCCTCCCCCCTCCCCCCTCCCTGGTGGCGTATTGGAAGTGTCTTCCAACGTTTTGGTGGGCTCTTGGGCCTTGCGGGCGGGCGGGCTGCGCTCCGCCCGCCCGCGCGCAGAGCCCAAAAGGGGGTCCAAGACGTTTTTTGCAACAATCTTGGAGGAGATCGATCAACGAAGGGGGGTTCCCTAATTACAGCCCCCCCCCTCAGGAGCCACGATCCTCGTGAGGGGTGTCGAATTTTAGTCTTCCCAGGAGTCGATGTTGGACGTTCCAACGCGCCGCGGAAACCCCTGTCCAGGTCAGTGGGGAGGGGGTAGGGGGAGGGGTAAACACCCTCCCCGAAGGGGAAGAGGGAGGGGTGGAAGAGGAAACGCTCTAAACCACCGACGCCCAGGGCTGGTGGGATTAAAGGCAGCGAGGCGGCTGATGTTGCTGCCAAGGAGGGTGCCCGTCTAGATCAAATCGATGAAAACGAGGCCCTACTTGTTCAATCGAATCTGGCTTTGGTCAAATCAGTGGCCCGCGCGATGGCCGGACATTCTGTCTCTTTTTCATCGGTCCGAGGTCCGTTTTTGGTGTCCTGGCCAGAGCGCCTAGGGCTCGTGGACCTCGGGCTGCACGGCGTGTTCCTAGCCTCCATGAGCTGAAGTGTTCTGGCAAATTCGTGGAGGCGCATTCAGTGTGCAAGATTTTTCAGATCCTCCAGGCCGAAGGGGGGTTGTGCCGCTCCGCCGCCCACCTTGACAGCCCTTGCAGGCCTCCCGTCCACGTGCAAGCTGTTGGTGTGCAGGGTTGGCAAGACAGGCCTTGCAATAGTTAGTTTGATTGGAGTTGTGGCGGAAATGCCACGAGCAAACCTGCTGGTGTTCAGGAGCACTGTGGAAATATTATACAGGCTCAGGTGTCGGCGTTCAGGCGACCGCTGGCCCAAGCATCTGCCATCGCGAACCCCTGGCCAAGGGCCGACGATCATTCGGGAGAATGGTGGACCAAACTTTCCGCCCCAACCCCTGCACCTGACGCCTGAGGCCAGGGAGTGCTTCTTTCTAATCAGCAGGTAGAGGCACTCCCCTGGAGCGCTGTCGCCCGCCGCCAGCAGGGAAGGTAGGGGAGAGGGTCGGGAGCCAACGACATCAAGAAGTACGGCTGGCAGGCCCCGCCCCTTTCCCGACCCCTGGTTTTGTTCTGCTGTTGTTGCAGCTCTGTTCGTTCATCTTTGTCTCTCTGTCTGTTCTCTGTCTCCGCTTCTCTTCTTTTTTTATCAAAGCCATCAGGGACTCACGAGTGCCCGTGCGCCAGGAGGAGCAGGACGAGGAGGGGGAGGAGAAGGAGGAGGAGTAGGAGGAGGAGGAAGGGGGAGGAGGAGGGAGGGAGGATGGGAGGGGGAGGATGGAGGAGGAGGAGGAGGAGGAGGAGGAGGAGGAGGAGGAGGAGGAGGAAGAGGAGGAGGAGGAGGAGGAGGAGGAGGAGGAGGAGGAGGAGGGGGCAGACCGGCCACGGTTTGCACCGATAACGAACAGATGGCCGGGATGTGCAGCGCGAGCTTCTCACGCAGCAAACCACAACCCCAGGTGCAAACACTGCTCCATGGAACATGCAATTCCCCCTACCATCAATCATGCTACCACTCGTGCTACGGCTTGGCCGCTGTGTGATTCTACAATTTCGGGGCCCAGGCCCTCAAGAGGATCCCCAGGACCTAGAAACCGTTAAGCTCGTAAAGTTGCGTATGGACCTCGGGTTATTCCACCCCGTGCCGAAGGCACGGTGGCACACCACGGCAGCAGGTATTTTGGTTGTAGCATTCGTCGACGGACGAAACACGTTAACCGCGACCACGTGACACGCGATTTTGGCGACCCCGAGCGTAGTCATGGTTCAGGATGATCCACGAGTTACGGTGACCAATATGGAGGGTGACCAAGATCGGCACCGAAATTTCCGCGTTCGGCCTGGGTCGTGGTCATGTCCCAAAGGGATGGGATTTCTGGGGGGGGCCCACGAGTACTCCCGTTGATGGGCAACCCAACCCCGTGTTCCTTCCCTCCCCGTTGGACCTGTTCCCTGTGGGCCGCGAACCTCTTGCTTCACTCCTGCTCATCCTTCCTCCTCCTTCGCCCCCATCTTTTCAAAACTGGGCAATCGCTTTACACTTGCCACACGCAGTCGTAGGGGCAGCCTGTCTCTCTGCTCGCCGCGCGCCCTCCGCCCCAAGAGGACGCTGGGGGCGACGCCGCCGCCCCCTTCCGGCCGCCTGCCGGCCGAGGACTGCCGCTCAAAAGCCCCTTGCGGGCCACCGCGCTTCGGTCGTTCGTTCCCCTGTGCTCCAACTTCCTCGTCCTCCGCCCCTCCCCCTCCTCGGGTCTCCGCGATCCCACTCGAAGGAGAAGCAAGAAAGTGCCGATGCCGCCAACGATCCTTCGTCAGCGCGACTGGGTCCACCTCGAAGTCGTGGTCAGAGCGCACCCCATGAAAGGTCATTGGAGCATCGGTATCGGCATTGCTTGTCCTTACCATTTCCTCCATGCTCAACGAGCCGACTGTTTTCGTCTTGGTCCTCCATCCTTCTTATCCACGGTCTTCTCCTCCTTATCAGTCCTAGACCTTCATAGATTCGAAAATTTAGAGCCTGAGTTTTGAGCATCTTCGGACTCTGGAGGCCCTTCCCAGATCCCTTGTGTCGCGAACATCCTCCTCCCCCATCCTCTTGTCGATGGCTCTCTCTTTATGCTCCGCTCCACTCGCCCGAGGATCGCGACGAGCTGAAGTAAGAGCATTGAGTTCAGGATGTAGTGCATTCTCTCTGGGCTTGCACCTCACAGACCACCGACTCGCAAGGTGGCAGGTGGGTCGTCATAGCCGTCGCATTCGCTTCCCCCAGATTGCGAACCAGGTGGTCTTCGTGCTCCTTGTTGTTTCTCTACGTATTCGACCTCTGAAGTCTGTATTCGGGCCCCAGGACCAACAACACACGGCTCATGACGAAACACGGGTACCTGGGAACGGGTCGGGAGGTCGGGGACTTCGAGACTCGAAAGTGCCGATACGCCCGAGGAGTCGGAGGTCTGCGAGACTCCTCGTCCTCTTCCTTCCGAGCGCCCGATGCCCGCTCCCCTCTCCCATCCTCCCCTCCATGCCAGACCTCCCTCGCGCCGTGAACAACTCACGCTGGAAGGTTGTTATACCGTATTCGGCCTCCGCGGTGCCATCAAACAATCACCCGGGATGTTGACCCGGGGAAGGTGTCGAGGCTTCTGGAGGCCCACGCGGGATACCACGACGTGGAGGATCCAGGTCCTTCGAGCGCAACAACAATTCGCTAAAGGGGTTGTCCTGGTCCCTCTCAGGGGGCCCCAGGCGTAGACATCGGCCGTTGAATGCCAATTGCGCAGAATATATCTTGAGGGCGCCACGGTGCGTTGCTGCGCAGCATTGCGCTCATACGCGTTTTACAAACACACTTTTACAGTAGCATCGTCAATGTATCTAGCCGCCTTCATTGCATCCATTGTTGCATGTCATTACTATTGTTTGGCTGCAGTTTCGGCTCGAGAGGTTTGAGTGGCGGGCAGGCCCGCCTTTTTCTCGAGCCTTCGAGCACACCAGCCTTCAGGTGCTCGAGGCGCCCGCGCGTTCGCGGGCGATCGGGGCCCCGCTGGGGCCTGCAGCGCGGCCGCTGGCCCGTGCCCGCCGCAGCCCGCGGCGACACGGGCGTGGGCCACCCTGGGCGGCGGGCGCCGCCTCTGCCACGGGCGCGCCGCGCCACGTGGCCTCGCGTCGCCACGGCGCGTGCGGGGCCTGTCGGGTGGGCCCTGGCGCTGGCGATCGTGGCCAGCGAGTGGGAGGCGCTGCTGCCGGGCCTGGGGGAGGCCAGCGCTGAGGAGGGCGAGAGCGACAGCGAGCCGCTCTTCTCGGCGCCCGCGGGGCAGGACGGCGTGGAGGATCTGTTCAGGGGGAGTCGGCCCAGCTACATGGCGCCGTGGGCGCGCTGGAACCGCCTGTACCTGCTGTCGCAGTCGAAGCCTACGGGGGTGGTGCTCCTCCTGATCACCAAGGTCGGGGGGGCCAAGTCTACCTTGTGGGCGGCGGTGGACCCGACGCAGCGGGTGGTGCTGGTGAATGTACGTGACAAGAAGTTCGCTCTCAGCAAGCCCAAGCAGGGGATTGTGTGGACGGAGCACCCTGGCCTCACCGAGAAGCAGCGGGATGCCGCGCTGATCGCCTCCGAGCGCCTCATAGCTCGCTCGGAGTTGAAGGAGGCTGAGGCGCGTACGGAGAAGGTGAAGCAGGCCCAGAAGAAGAAGAATAAGAAGTCGAACTCCAAGACGGCGATGGCGAGCTGGATGTTCAAGGGGGTGAGCACGGCTGCTGTGGCCGGCTGGAGCTACCGCACCGCCGGTGCGTGGGGCTCGGCGGCTTTTCTTGGGTGGCGCGTGTGGCGCTACCTGGAGCTGGGGTCGTGGCTGAGCGGCGGCTACCACACCGTGAAGGCGGGCTTCCAGGCGTTCGAGGACCTGCAGTCCGTGATGGAGCTGGTCAACGACATGTACGAGAACGGGGACCTGGAGAAGATCGCCTGCACGGTCGGTGGGATCGCGGTGGCAGGGTACATGATCTGGATGTACTACGCCTACGGCAGCGAGGGTCGAGGTGACAGCTCGGACAGCGAGAGCGACAGCGACGACGGGACGGCCATCATCGGGGGACGAGATGTGAACGACAGTGATGAGGAACCCGATGCGAAGGCCTTGTTCTCGGAGCTGGCGAGGGGTCAGGCGGAGCTGGCCTCAGCGGTGGTCGACCTGAAGGACCGGATGCGCGAGGAGGCCGAGGCTAGGGTGCCCACGCCGCACCCTGCTCAGGCGCCCGCACGCCAGGCCACACGCCGAGAGGAGTCCCCAGAGGGGGCTCGGACGCCTGCCGTGTCGGAGCCGAGTGGGGGCGACATCGACGCGTTCATTCGGAAGCTGAACGAGCGCGAGGGGGTCGTGGCGAGGGACTCGGCGAAGGCGACGACGGGCTCGGCGACGCCTGTGAGCAGCAGTGGGAGCAGCGGCTCGCGGGAAAGATTGGCGCCGAGCTCGACGATCCCATGAAGGACCAGATCGTGCAGCTGAAGTTGGAGTCGACCAGCCCGAAGGACAGCCTCCTGACGGTGCTGCAGCAGTGCCGGCCCGCGGTGGGCGGTCAGGTCGGCGGGGTCCGGACTCGGGTCGCGCCGACGGTGCTGGCGAAGCTCTACCGTGGAGGTAGGACGGCCCGCGTCGAGACGCAGGAGTGGCTTCGCAGCAAGGAGCTGCAGGGCGCGACGGTGGCGAACGAGGTGAACATGTTGGCCATGGTGCTGGACCGCATGATGACCTCGGGGGAGCACGACGCGCTGATCAATAGCCAGGCGTCCGAGCTGACCTGCTTGCGGCTCTACTCGATCTGGAAGGCCTACGAGCGGGTCCAGTGCAGGGCCGACTGGCAGAGGCCCAAGCAGCAGAACGGGGGCAAGTGGAAGTCCAAGGTCGACTGGAGTTTGGCGGAGGAGTACCTGAGGCTGGACGGAGATCGGGACAGCGAGAACCTGAAGGCCGATGAGGAGGTCCTGGAAAAGTTAAGGCGCCGCGCGACCCTCAACAAGCACCTGGGCGCAGGTGGCGGCGGGGCAGGCGGTGCCGACGGCGAATAGGTTGCGGCCAGTGCGATCGTGGTAGCCACTGGCCAAGAGCGTGCTACAGGCACCGCGCTACGCTGCTCGGGGGGGCCGGCGGCCTCTCGCCGCCCGCCTCAGGCCGTCATCCTGATCGGGTTCCTCGGGCGCCTGCTGGGCTGGGTGTTCATAGAGCGTGTCTGGGAGGGCCTACTCGCCCAGGCGATTTTCGAGTCTGAAGAGGTTGGCGTCGACCTGTTCGAGGCCCCACTGCCGCAGGCAAGTCAACCAGTGCGTCGTGGTGCAGGTCACCAGGCGGGAGCTTTCCCAGGCGTCGTGAATGGATCCTCGAGAGCGCGATCCGCTGAGATCACTCCCCGACCTCCCCTTTCCACTGAGTACGAGGAGATCAAGTGCGGGTTTGAGTTCTGTCAGCCTGCGTGTTACGTGGAGGAGGGTGGGGAGGGCGGTTTCGGCGATCAGGAGTATGGCTTCGGGCTGCGCGAGTGGCTGGCTTACCCCATCGCCACTGAAGACGGAGGAGGTGGCGAAGGAGAAGTGGACCGCGAGCAGCCCGCTCCAGAAGAGGATCGTCAGCGACATCTGGGACCGGCACGCCGCGCGGGCGGGCTGGGGCACCATCAGCGACGGCAAGGTGGCTCTTGGCCGCCTCGAGGAGACGGCGGGCAGCGGCTACTTCGCAACGGTGAGGAAGATGGAGATGGAGAAGAAGAAGGTGACAAGATACAAAAAGGGGGACCTGTGCCCCCTTCGAGATGGTCAGGTCTCCCTGCCCACCCCGGGTACGGCGCCTCTTCGTGTCCAGGACCTCTCGGCTTGTGCAGGCAGCTATATCGACTCGTGCCAGAAGCTGATGATCAAGAGCCCTGGCGAGGTGGACTGGGAGCGATACGAGAAGACGAAGAGCTACTCGGACCCGGCGCTGAGAAGCAGGACCGAGAAGCTGGAGCTCCTGGCGCGCATGTACCAGGCGGGGATGCTCGACTACGTGAAGGAGGTGAGGGAGAAGGTCGGTCTCTTCACAGTGGCCAAGGACGTCGACCCCGACTCAGGGGTAGTGCTCAAGAGCCGCTTGATCTGGGACTGCCGCAAGGTCAACGTTCTTTTTCACGAGCCTCAGTGGGTGCCGCTTGGGAGTCCCGCCGGTCTGGCTTTGCTGGAGTTGGACGAGGTCATCCCACATGGGCGGCGGCTCTTCTCATTCCAGGGCGACGTACCGGATTGGTTCTATCGACTGCACTGTGGCTCGGAACTGGCGGAGTTCTTTGTCGTGGAGGGCGCGCCGCCGCGGGAGCTGTGCCAGCACGGGCAGGAGAAGGGCTTGAACTTCAGAGTGCCCTTGGATACGGAGATCGGTCTTGGAGCAGCGAGCCCGGTGATGGGCTCGGGCTGGGCGGTCTTCGTGGCGCGCACCTGCCTGGAAGCGAGCTTCGAGTCACTGCGGGCGCCGAGTATTACCTATGGGAAGCCGACCCCAAGCTTTCGGAGCCCGACGTCAGCCACTCGACCTTCGTTGCAGCAGGGGGATCTTCCCCCGAGCGTGACCGAGGCGGCGGAGGACGGGGCGGCCGAGGAGGCGGCGGTGAGGCTCATCCTGATGTTGTATATCGACGATTACATTGGTTTTACTCTGAAGGGCCCAGGCGAGGAGGAGGACATCGCGAAGGACAAAGAGGAGGTGAAGGAGCTCCTGAACAGCAAGGGCCTCGCGATCCACAAGGAGGACTGGGGAGAGGGGCTCAGCGCGGGGCTTGGACTCACGATACCTACGGCCAGGCCCTGCGTCCTGAGGGCCCAGACGAAGAAGTTGGCGGAGCTGGTCTTGGCGGCGGAGGCCCTGCTGACGGAGGACGCTGCTCAGCCAGCAGTCTTGTCGAGTCTGGTGGGCCACTGGACGTGGACCATGATGGTGTTCAGGCCCGCGTCCGCCATCCTGGACGAGACCTACAGATGGGTTCGGAGCTGGGAGCTGGAGGAGGCGGTCGTGCCCAGGAGGCTGCCCGAGATCGTCAAGAGCGAGCTCGCGGCCCTGGTCAGCCTCTCGATCTACGTGGAGGCGGACCTGGGAGCCCCCTGGTGGCCACGTGCGTACATGACGGACGCCTCGGAGAGCGGATACGGAGCCCT